CGTTTGGGCGCCGGCGTTCCCGCTTATGAGCGACCGCAGAGGCGCCGCAGGCATCGACAGCGCTACCAACACGGGAGCACCCGGTAAAGATGCAGTAAACCGCAGTGACTGAATTGCGCGAGTTCTGCACTAGTTCACTCTCGGGTTTACAAGCGAGACGGTGAAGCTGTCTACCCCCAACACAGGTCCGGCAGCGCGGTGCCCGAACGTTGACACCCCCCCACTACGAGCGTGTCGGAGAGGGACCGCGGAGCGGGACCCCGCAGCCCTGCCCCCCCCGCACTCGCATTCCCGCCCGTGCTCGGTGCCCGGGTGCTACACGCCTTGCGATATGCCAAGTTAAAGGGGAATTGTAGGTTATCGTAAGAAATAGCACCAGTTGCAATTTAGCAGCGAGGCTGAACTTTCACACTCTATCCATCCAGCGCATTCAGACATTCCTAAAGCTGTGGGGCTGAGCTGAAGGCCACAGCAGGAGTCTCGGCGAGTCTCACCTCTGCCAGAGCAGCACTGTCCCGGTCCAGCGCCAAGGCCAAGCAGCACCATCCCTCTGCAAGGTGCCCAGAGATCACCAACAGGCACCTCTCTCAGACAGGTGGATGCTGGGAGGGGTTGGCAGTCTCTGCCTTGCTCCTACACCCTCCCACCACCTTAGGACTGGCAGTGACCGGATATGGGCCGAAACGGACCTTTGGGCCAGCCACAAGCAGCCGTTCATGCCTGTGCTGTTCAACAAGCACGAAGCCTCAGGGGTGCGTATTCCGCGCTGAAAATCACATAAGCACGCCGAGTTCATGGCCCTTTCGTTCCATCCACAGATCACCTTTGTGTTCCTGCAATGCTGTCCTTGAAATCCCCACCTGCCTTTGAACAGCTTGGCTGTGGAGATTTCCAGGACAAACAAATTCCCATTCTTCGCCCACCTGCCCAGACCACGCATTTCACACAGGTCAGAGTCCGGTTCCCCATGCCCCTTCACCATTTGGCATCTTCACACAAACCCCACTGGATCCTTACGTAGCTCCCAGCAGGACAGCTAGCGCAGCCAAGCGCTGAACCCACACGCGCGTCAGCTTCTGACGCAGCGAGGTGACGCACGGAGACAGCACAACATGCGCTCCATGTACAACACACAACTCAGAGCTCAGCTGAGCACCGCCTGCTACCAGCAGTTCAATGCAAGTGGGAAACAGTACAAAAACGTGAAAGAACAACAACAACAACAAAAGCTTATGATCAAAAAAAGCTGCTTCCATCACACCTGATAAATCCAATAAACCCAAAGTTTCCATTCTGGTGGCAGTGCTGGTGTGGGAAGTTCCCCCCAGACCCGAGGCAGCCCTGTGCTGTCCCTCTCTCCTGCCAGTGCCAAAGAGCTGTTCCCACAGTCACTTCATAAACTGGGCTGGGGAGCTGATCTGGGCTGGAAGAGCCCCCTCCCCAAGGCATTTCTTTATTTGGATCACGCTGTCAGACTCTGCAGCCCCTCAGCAGCTGAAGCGGGACCTGGTGAGGGGCAGGAACGGCAGGAAGGAGCAGGAACACTTCTCACAGCCACCTCTGGCACTGGGAAGGCTTCGCCCTCTTGTACTTTGCACGCAACCCATGTGCTCCCTCCCAGTCTCCCTCTTCCCTCTCTATCTTGTTCCTAATTTTCATAAAACCTGTAAAAACCAAAAAAGTGTATTTTTAAGGCCAATACCTCCATGTAGACTGTGGCTGAACCCAGACAGGCAAGGCCAGAGCCAGAGGGGAGCAGAGAGACGCACAGAAAGACAACACGGTCACACCTCGCTCCCCCAGGGAACCCGGCCTCTAAGAAGCCCCCAGGACAGTATCTTTCCAAGCATGAGGCAGAAGCAAACCCTGCGAGGTCACTGCAATGACGACGCCATCAAATGCATCCGTGTTACCACCTGCATGGCAGGAGGCAGGACGAGGACTGGGGAGAAGGCTGGTGACGGCAGGGCCACAACACCAGCGATTTGGATACCGCCGTGGGCGCTGCTGGCGCCGGGGCACTGCCATGCCGCGCTGGGAGCCTGCCGCGGGAGTCTCCCCGTGAAGAGGTGACAAAATGACGACCTCCCTGCCCATCTTGGGTTGCTTTCTCGACAGAACGTGAAGACTGAGAGAAGTAATAAATGCATGCAGTGGACCAATCAGCGTTCCATTTCTCCATGCATAACGTGTTGACAAGTTTATTCTGTTGTCACCTTTGCTCAGGTCACGGTTTAGCACTCTAAATAAAGACCGAGTGGTATTGAACAGAACAGAGGTTTGTGTCTCAGGAGGATGTTAGCAACTTCCCAGTCTCTCTCATTTCCTCCTTCCATTCCACAAAGACACACGTCTTAAATCTGATTTAAAAAAATAGTTAACCATGGTAAGGCATTTCCCTGAAAAAAAACCAAAAACCCCACAAATCCCCGTGGAGCAGCCAAGAGCCTGTTGCAAACCATGCAGAGTCTTTTATCCTTCCTCAAGGGCCCTGCCAGCGTGAGAATGGCACACGGAGCACTTTTCTCAAACTGCCTTGTACTGCCGACCACTGTTCTCCTCCTGCAAAGCTAGTGCAGGCTTTCGGCCTGCGCTCCGGGGCGACTGCATGACACCCCTTCCCTCACAGCCAGCCTGCGCTCCTCTCTGCTCTCGCATCTGAATCATAGAATCACAGAAGGGTTTAGGTTGGAAGGGCCCTTAAAGATCATCTAGTTCCAACCCCCCTGCCCTGGGCAGGGACACCTTCCACTAGACCAGGTTGCTCACAGCCTCATCCAGCCTGGCCTTGAACACTTCCAGAGATGGGGCGTCCACAGCTTCTCTGGGCAACCTGTGCCAGTGCCTCACCATCCTCTCCGTGAAGAACTTCTTCCTGATATCTAATCTAAACCTCCCCACTTTCAATTTAAACCCGTTACTCCTTGTCCTGTCACTACAGGCCCTTGTAAAAAGTCCCCCCCAGCTTCCTTGTAGGCCCCTTCAGGTACTGAAAGGCTGCAATAAGGTCTCCCTGGAGCCTTCTCTTCTCCAGGCTGAACAAGCTCAACTCTCTCAGCCTGTCCCCATAGCAGAGGTGCTCGTGGTCCTCGTGAAGGTAGGATTACAGGCACCCTGTGACTGCCCAACTTCCATCTCTGGAAGTGATAACCTAGTTATTGAAGTGGCACTGCTCTAAGTGTACCACACGCTTAGTCTGTGGCAACGAACCATTTCTATAGCGACCCTGGGAGTATCACAGACTTCATCTTAAGCCCAGTAGTCCATAGAAATGGCGAGCATTGGCTTTACTCACATTAGCACCAGATCATAGTTCCACCCAGTGAATAATGAAAACAAATCTGGTTTTCACGGTAGTTCCTGTAGAGATGCACAAAGTACTGTTAGAGAGCCATTTGAAAACTTTGATGACAAAGAATGGTTCAACTGAAAAAGATGGAAATCTCGTCACTACATTTATATTTCTGAGTTGTTTAAAAAGAAAGATAGATTATGCCTAGTTTTTAACGATGTGCACTGAGTTCATATTAGACATCTTGTTCATGAGGTAATCAGTACTTCTATGAATACTGCGTCTGCTGTTTTCGTAGCAGCAACGTGAAAATTGACTGTTTACACATTATACACAGAGACACAGCCATGTGACCGCATAGCACTGGGAAGATTACCTACGGCTTCCCATTTGTTCAGTTCAGGGTTGTATTTCTCAATACTCTGCAGGTACGTTCCCTTCGAATAGGAATACCCTCCGGTTACATAGATGCATCCGTTCATAACCACCGCGCCGCACTCCATCCTCCTCTCCGTCATGTGTGCCATCTGCTTCCACTCGTTGTGCTCGGGGTCGTAGCAGTCCGTGATCGTGGTCTGTCCACCCACAAAATAGATCTTGTTTTGCAACGGAATTGAACACAGTCCGTATTCTTCAGGAAGAAAGGAACACAGTTCAACTCAGCATGACAACGTTAACTTAAGCTGCAGCTGCCTGACAAACACTGGGCGCCACGGAGGGCAAATGAGTTTCTTCCCTGAGCTAGAAGACACCTCGGGATCTCCTGCTACACTGGGCAAAAGTAAGCTCGAGGCGTTACAGAAGATACATACATAAGCACCAGCACCTAGTGAGAATTACTTTAAAAACTTACCAAATATAGAACATAGAGAAAATCATCTAGAAATTCCTATCAATTATTTTTGCCAAATGCCTAGGAATAGATCATTTTATAGACAGATAGTTCATTATTTAACAGAATGCAGCCCATGAATACCTAGATTTTATAGAAAGTTAGTTTATTCTATTACTGGACAGAATGCAGCTGTTCCTTAGTTCACTATTTATACAGTGATTTCCATAGAACAGCTGCTGGAAGAAGATCTTCTCTTCCCCTCTCAGAGTCTGGAAACAGAAGATGATCCCACTCTGGCCTCTGCTGCCCTACAGGCATTTGCTCCTTTTATTAGTAACATGCCAGGAACACTTAAGCGGGCTTAAAGACTCCCACATACACGTAATCAAATCAAGCTCTGCGCTCGTTACAGAAATCACTCTTTACCTGGATGCGGACTGGTGGCGACTATACTCCACTCATTGCTACCTGAATGGTATCTCTGGATTTTATCATAGGTGCAGCTTCCCCTGTAGCCGTAGTGACCGCCGGTTACATAGATGACTTCAAGCAGGACACAGGCGGTGGCATTTCCCACACCTGTACACAGTGTGAAAGTCACGACACACCTTCAGGCTGCACACAATAACCGCGGTCACTTCCATCCATAACCCCATTCCAAATGGCTTGTTAAGTAGTATTTTAGGGTGAAATTACGCTTGCAAGGATTTAACCGAATGTGAAATTAAATAAACTTGTCGAGACACCTTATTGTATCAGCACAAGTCAAGAGCATTGATGTAAAACTGCAGTAACCGACAGAAATAATGCAGCCACACAACATTTCACACAACTTGCATGCAGTGTTAAAGACACTCTGTCACACTGGTTTTGGAACAGGGAGTTACTGTCAATATTTCGCTCAGCTAAAGGGATTTTTAAAAGTCACTCATATGGCAAGGACAAAGACAATGAGAGCTGAGATCATTCACTGTCTCAGGGTATCTTTTCTGATACTTTCAGTTTTTCTCATGATAACTATTAATTATGCTGTTGTATAAACAAGGACGCAAACAGAACGGAGCCTCGTTAACTCTGTCTCCAGGAGAACAAAACAAAATAAACCAAGGGAACTGGCAAGATAAAAGGGACCAAAATTAAGAAATTAGTGTGAGGTTTTTAAGCATCTAAGACGTTTCACACTGAAAACGGGGCAAACCAACAGCACAGAATGTGTAACTGCTCCCAGTATCAGCGCAGCATTCCTAATTGTAAAGGACGTAAAGAGAATTAATAGCCATGTTTGTGGAAAATATGTGAAAAATGAAGACAGGTGTAGGAGAACAGAAAGTGGTTTTTCCTGTTACAAATACCTCCAAGAACTCTCATGGATGTAAAAAAAATGCTAAGTTTCATCAAGTTACAGTAAAATGTTACAATTAATGGCAAGTAATTGCATTAATTTATTAAAATGTATCATAAAATGTACAACTGTTTATAAATTGTACAACAAAATGCTACCCTTTAAGTTGGCTGTGATCCATATTCACCCATTTTTTAATAGATCACTATTTTGGCTGCTAGAAACAGGCATTAGTGCTTTTCATCACCCTCACACTACAGATTAAGGATCCCGAACAGGTGACACACTGACATATAAGGAAACTGCATGCAAGAAGTTTCAGATGCAGATGACACCTTTATAAATGACTGCACACAAAATCTCTGTAATCTGGTTTTACGTTAAAATAATATAATCCCATTATGGGAGCTTGCTCTTTGACCATCTACTCTAATCCCAAGTAGTTTTCTGATTTCTTTCTGATCTGATTAGAAATTTTACCCCTGAAAGAAGGTGAAATTAAACTGAGACTACCACTTGCTTTTCCACTGTAGTGGCATCACGTTTGGAGGTCTGCAGTTGTTTGGCTAGTAAAGACCCAAACCACAGCTCACTAATGTTAACAGGAAATTCCCATGGACTTCACTAGAAATTGGATCAAACCCTAAACGCATCCATGGCACTTAAAAGAAGCAAACACAAAAGGATGGGCATTCGAGGCTGACGCCATACAAAAGCCTACCTACCTTTGATCATGTTTGCAATAGGGAGCCATTTCTTTTTTAAAGGATCATAGAACTCAGCTTCTTGCACTGGAGCTCCCTTTCGGTAACCTCCCAACGCGTAGATGCAGCCGCCCAAGGAGACCGCGCAGTGGTAGTACCTCGCGTCAAGCATGGGGCAGCCTTCCGTCCACTCATCCCTCTCACTGTTGTATATCCACACGGTGTCGAGGGCCTCGATGGTCTCCGTTCTGTAGCCTCCTGTCACATATACGTCTGGTCCCAAGCTAGTGACCCCATAGCTCTCTCTGGTGTGATCCGGCATCTCCGTTCCCTGGACCCACGCGTTGGTTAAAGGATCCCAAACATGCACTTCTGATAGGGGGTGCCAATAATATCCTCCGATCACATACATGGCTGCCGTGGGTCTTCTGGAAAGCCCTTGGGGACTGAGGTTCACAGCACTGTGTATCAGTGACCTTATCCTTTTGTCATTAAGCCGGCATTTTTTCTGTAGGCTGAAAGCTGACCTCAAATACATGTTATCTAAGTCTACTTTGATGCAGCTCAGCAGTTCATAGATGTCTTCCAGTCTTTCTTCCACGTTGTGCGCCACCCACTTCACGACAGCGTCGATGGCCGCCTCTTCTTTCCAAAGGTTGAGATTCTCCCTGCAGAGAATGTAGGAGAGCTTCTCCTTGCCAATGTCCAGAAACTCCTCCTGCTTCCACACGGCCTCAAACCGCCATAACAAAATCCTCCTGGACTCTTTTTCCAGCTCGGAGCAACCGTGGTACTCGGCGAAGGCGTGCATCCCTATGCAGTTGTCGGTATCCAAGCGCCTCACCAGGAATTGCTCGCAGGCTGTCTTCACCGAGACAAACTGGAGGAGGTCCGCAGCCTGGAGCAGGCTTTGGACATTCCCCTCGGTTATCTGGATCTGCGACGTGTAGGCGTAATTCACCAGGGCTTCCAGTACGGCCTGGCTGAGCCCGGGCAGCCTGACGTGACTTTTGGATTTTTCCCTCATGTCGGCGGTGAACATGGCTCGGAAGTAGCTGCTGCAGGCCGCCAAGGCGGCTCGGTGGCAGCGGAAGGTGAGCCCCGAGGCGCACTGCAGGGCGATGTCGGTGAAGAGTCCGTCGCGATAGAAGGCCCGGAACGATTCCAAAAAGCCGGCGGGGTGAGCGGGGTCCTCGTAGAGGTATTCGTATTCCTCCTGCCCGGTCGCTGCCATCGCCGCGCCCCTCGTCGCTTTGTCCGCGCTCCGCCCGTTCCGGGCGGAGCGCGGACAAAGCGGCGT